TTTGTGTCGGTTTCCTCCAAACTGTCGTCCGTAGTGAGTTGTCGTCACGGCTTACTAAACAGTCTAGAAAGCCGTGACGACAACTCACTACAGACGACAGTTTACAGGAAACCGACACACACCGACTCGGGATGGGAATGGTGATACATGTACAAGAAACTCAGTGCAATACAACGAATTGGTCTCACCCCAGCCTACTGCCACGCGTGTCAGATATTGCTTGTTTAAAGAGAAGACCTTGACCAGCTTGATGTAGAGATTTATTCCTTCAACCAACATCCATGTAAATATTGCAGTGTAATGGAAGTGCTCAACCACTTCCAGGGTTGTGCAAAAAGCCTTAAAAATTCAATATGTTTGATTACTTCCTAGTAGGACAACAGATTCTTTTAAAATGGTTAGTAAGAAACTGTCGTTGATGATAATGGTACATCCTGTCGGTTACGTTTAAATATCCACTGGAGAAATATTTTGTTACTTTAAGATGTGAGAGGCTTATTCCATTTCTGCCAGCCGAAAATGCACAAGGAGTCAAGAAAATGTTTAAAAAAAATTTGGGAAATAGTACGAAAACATCCAAAATTTCCGAAGATGTTAGCAAGACGCGATTTCCCAGGAACGCTTTAAGTGCCTACAAACGGACAATACCATAAAACAAGCGGGTGAAGGTTAGTAGGGACATTTAAGTGTACAAAAAGTGTTTCACTAACTTAAAGGATATTTTTCTCTACTTTTGAAGAATGTTACGTCTACAACACCTACGAGGTTACCAAAGCCCATCGATAGAATAAGATTTTTATGCACAAAAACCTTTTCCCTCTTAAACCTATCACATAAAGTATGAATCGGCAAAACAAAGTTGAAGCGATCACAACAGCAACTCACATGTGCAGGTACTAAAATTATCACATCAATATTACTAAAAATACGTATATCCGCGAACTCGGTCATCATATGTCATGTTAAATTAGGCAGACCTACATAACCCGCTCATCAATTTATTTAATGAAGAGCTGTTTTGCTTTATTCACGAAACTGATTTCGTCACAGATAAGGACCTACAAAAGAGAGGAGGAAAATACTCGGCAGCGTAAGGTGTCTTTTGTAGCTGGGCATACTATGTGACTGAAAAAAAATGCAATAACAAATAATAACTTATAAATA